AATTCGACCGGGATATTTGTTTACCGTATGCAGACATTGCTGAAATGCTGCTACATATAATTGGAAGTTCACTATTGGTAAATGAAATAATCTCTATAATAATGCCAAGTTCTAAATCGACCGTCATTGTCAAATTCTAGATATGAGCCCTTCATTTATAGTTCAATGGGATAGATGCGTTCAACATATACCAACTTGTGAGAGGACATCATCTATATAGCGGACTGTGAAGTTAAAGGATAATGCTAGCATCTTTTCATTCTTCTTGAAAAAATCCTGTATGAATCTACCTCATATGAACAAAAAAACAAGTCTGAAGAAGAGGAACACAATTTGTTCCCATATGAATGCCGATTGTCTGTTGGAAAACTCCGTTGTCAATTTGAAGATGCATCACCATATGAAACACACTGTGTATCTGTGGTACTAGTATCAATGTTTTATTTCAAGTAATATGGGAAAGAGGCGACCAACAGTCACCAACTTATTCAGTAAAAGGATGTTATCTAAATAGTGGAACGTAAAGTTCTTGAGAAGGTCCTGCATGATGTCCGTCTCATACGAATATAGAAACAAGTGAACAAGAAGAGACAAAATTGGTTTCCATAACAATGCCGACTGTCTGAAAAGCATGTCTTCCAAACAAACAAAAGATAAACAAATTCACCATCTTGATGATGTTAGTTTTAGATTAATAACTTTTTGTTTAAATCACCTGTTTAAATGGTAGAAAAGTAACGTTTTCATACTTTTGCACGAGCTGAGAGACAAACATCGTATGTAATTCAACAGAACATAGGAACCTTTTAGTATTCTTATCTGATTTGCACATTCCCGTAGAGTATGTCGTTTCATAGGAAATCTGAAACCAGTTTATAATTGCTGATAAAAAAGTAAGAAAGAGTTTTCTTCGTGGAGCATTTGGCAGAGACAAGAAAATAACACTATTTGTAAGGACGCTTATGTTGTTTTGGGGTTAAGTAAAATACTTGAGGAAAATTTGGGTTAAGTAAAATACTTGAGGAAAATTCAGTTCTTCAAGTATCGTAGATATATGATCGCTCATGAATTATCGTAAGGGTATAATTTTGGTTTCCAAGTTAAATATCTAAGTCCTGATCAAGCAGTTCATATGTGATTTGCCTCAAAATTTAAAAGCTGTTTAAAGGCTGTGTCTGCGGGGCAATATCTGCTTTGTCATGGAAGAAGGAAATGTGCGCAGCAACATTTGGTCTTGTAAGATAAATACATGTAGATGTTTATAGACCAAAATTTGTATCCACGACATCGCAGTTTTCCTCATTCTGAAAACAAATATCTTAAATGACTTCGTTTTCACGTTTTCCCATTGAATGGAATGATATGACTGAAGCCATTAGTATACTCAACCATGTCTGTCTGAGATTTTACCTGCCATGAGTTGTTTATAGAAGGCAACAATAGTTAACCGATGTTAAATCTCGTAAATCTATTCAGAACACGCAAAACAAGATAATAACAAACCCTGAATGAATCGCATAAACTCCAAAAAAAAAAAAAAAAAAACCAGAGCGTCAACAGGATAAGCATCTCCTGAAACGCATGCACCACTTGCTATGCGAATTAACACACATACAAGATGTCACCATATGGAATATGACACAATCGGTGAATTCATTTATAAGACCATTATACTTGGGGTGTTTCTACTCTTTGGACGGGTTGTTGTCTTTTTGACACATTCCCCGTTTCCATTCTCGATTTTATACTGATTTTAAAGATATAAGACTACGAAACATGTCATTTGTGAGGTGAGACACAGACACATCGTTCAGTCAACCAATTCTTGATGGTAACCGAAAAACTTGTGGCTATATCAGTCGTTCTTCCTCATAACCCTGCTGGAGCAGTTTTTGTGTCAGGAGCACGTACCCGACAATAAAGTCCGCATGATGAGAAAATGCCCCGACGTAAACTTTCAATTGAGATATGTAAACGCCATACAATGGACAGATGGTATGATACTGTTGAGAAAGGGGAAAGTTATAATGGGAAAGCTGAACTGAAATCGTCACAAATTTGTTGTATATCTTAGTTTAAAGTCTTGATTAAATGGTAGTATCCTGAATTTCAAGTGCACTGGGATATATGAGATGCAAACACTCATTAAACTAGAGAATTGTATTGTTGGTGATGATTTACATAGTATACTCGTCAAAACCTTTTTAAATCTTATCTGACTTCAGTGGCTTTGTCTATTCATCTCAATGGAAACAATATTATTTTATTTATTTTAACAGGGTCGTAGATTCTTTTATTTCTCTTGGAAATACCTTTCCAGTATTTATTTGTTTCAACATTTTTGTTCTTACACACACTTCTATAATTGGTACTTTACCAGTTTTTCTACTTTGTTTCCGTGGTCCATAACAATCGAAAAACAGTTGTCTCTTAGAGTCCTTCATTTTTAAATCAATAGAGGTGCATCAACTATGTCAAAGTCAAATTTTCTAAACAAAGTTTGTCATTGATTTTAATCTTCTATTACTGAAGTGGATACAATAAAGACTTTGCAACTTCCTTGTTTTTTCACAAACTTAGAGGCTAATACAAATGATTCAAGTCAAACCTTTTAACTGGGTTAAAGCACTAAGTTAATATCACACCACTTGCCAAACATTCATGCCACAATTAAGCAGATGCCAACCCTTCATGTAGTCAACTTTATAATCGGATGGATTAGAGAATCTAATCAATTAGCATCAAACTTGAATACATTAAATTCACAAAAAAGATTTCTACAGTCGTTTTCCAAGGTCACAGGTCAAAGGATCTTGAAGAAATCTTGTTAACATAATACAAATAAAATGGTTTGGTTATCTTTAATAAACCTGCTTTATAAAATGAATCCTTTTGCTTTTTGCAAGCAGAGGATATTGGTTACACTCTTACCTGTACTTTTGATAACTATTTACACCATGTATCTAGAAAATTAATACTGGGTTTTCGATTTTTTGCATTATGGCATTTTTTTCTTGTTGCACAATTCTTAGACCAATATTTATCTCATAATGATAAGAGGTTAGCAATAGAACATGCTTAAATTTTCTACTGGATTTAATTGTAAAATAATAATATACAATCTTGGTTTGTGTAGATGTTAACTTCCAAAAGCCATCAGTATGATCCGGTCTGTGCATTTTTTAAGTTCTTTTTATCTGTAGATGCTGCATTTAAAGTGACTTGATTTTAAGTGTTGCTCTCTGTTTCATCAAATCAAACTGTTCCAAAAGGTCAGCATTTTTAACCAATTGTTGTAGAATAACCAGTCAAGTCACCAAAGTGCAAAGTGATAAAATAAAGCATGACTACAATCCTACAAGATTTTAATTTCACTTCATGGTTTCAATGATAGTGCGGCCTACTATTTTGAAGGATATATTTATTGAATAGGTCATCTGAAGGTAAGATAGTAATTTTTAAATTGCATAAAAGAACCAATTTACGATTTTGAATAAATTCATTTAAATGTTGTTTTTCCATACATGTTTCAAAGCTGTCTTGACATAAAAATCTAAAATACTCAGTGACATATACTTTTAGAAAAAAATCTAAAAACTTAGTTTGGACATTTTTTTAGCAATTCAAAAATTACTATCCGTCAGATGACTCACTACAAAAATATGTGTATGGAAATTTAAGGCAACACTCAAGTAAAAGCCATGAAAAGGAATTCAGAACTTAAAGCATCATAAGTATGCTATATTTTAACACTGCACTTTGACTTTGTTTCTTTTCAGCAGTAGGTTAAAATTTCTGACCAGTTGAACAGTTTGATTTGATGAAACAAATTGCAATTTGGACACATTTCTTAAATGAACTGCAATAGGTGGAGAGCACCACTTATAATCAAGTCACTGTAATTAGTTTTCATTTTCAAGTTTTGCATGGGAATAAATTAAATGCCTGAAAATTTGTTAATGCTAATCCATACTATACTTCGATGTTCAGGATTTTTTTTATTGCAGGGTCTAACTTTAAATTACAACTTGTACACCAAATAGTGTGTCAAGTCAATACCACTTAACTAATGAAGTTTTCCTGCAACGATTTCCTCATATTTACAATACAAATGTATGTTCCTTTAATCATACAAACAATACCACCATTCTTCTTTCTAGACTGTACCAAAAAGTGCCACTAGCATAGCAGGACAGGAACTGCTTACCTGTCAAGACATATACTGGAGTTCAACTCCATTTTTTGGTAGGATTTCAGGTATATCAATCCTAATTTTTCTGTCTGTCTGTCTGTTTTTGTTTTTTTGTTCTTTTTGTTTTTATCGTGGTGCTGTCAGTCTTACTTGTGGTTTTTTATCACCTTGATTTTCCTCTTCTCATTTTAAATATTCACCATTGGTTTCAATTTTCATTAACAGCAAGATGATGAACAGTTTCTTATTATAAACCCCATGCTCTTATGCCTTGCCAGCAATAGAAAGGGTTAATATTTTTCAATCTGTGCCCCTCTGTCAGTTTATAAGTACATGTACCATAACAGGTTAAAAGTATGTTTTCATGATATAGCTTACAAAAAAGTTGTTGTCATATCAACTTGAAACTTAGTACACATGTTCATTAGGTGTGCACTTTTTAAATATTTGCTAAATAAGAGCTTGGACCAGATTTTGGGGTTCACAGATATTGACTGTAAGTGTAGTATCTTTGGTTACGGTAGTTTCTTTCACTGAACATGGAAATGTGATAATGCAAGCCTGGCATGGTGTTCTATGGACACATAATACATGTATTGTTTAAAGCATAAATGTTACTTGTATAAACAGATGGTGGGAATCTCAATAGCAAAAGACCTGCAGCTTGCCCCTCTTTCAGACAATATATCTTTTTTTCAAACTTTCCTTTTATCAAGGATAGGGGGTTAATCTAAAACTGTCCATTGTACATGTTTATGGAATGTGGGGCTTTTATAATTGGTAACTTAAATACAAATAACAACACAACTAAAAAAAGATATTCTACTTTTATCATCATCATCATCTTCATAAATAATTTGTATCAAAGACGTAAAATTTGTTCATTTGCTAAGTGTTGTGTATTGGTTGGTTAAATGGCACCATATTAACATTTCTGTATTTATATTGAAATACAAACAACAAGATTAACAACCACAATCAACATTCTTAACAAGAATACCAGATTTGCATTAATAAAATTTCGTAAGTTTGTATTAGAAACATGACATGATTAGGTTAGGTATATTTTGTTACTATCTGCCATTCTTACATTTCACAAACAAGCCTTAGTTCATTGAACTTTGAAAGTGTGAGACTTCGCTACAACATCAGTATCTTGGATTTCACAATAGCCAAACGAATATACAATCATAAGCTTAGCTTTACAGATATTTTTCTTTCTTAACTGTTTTATTTTAAAATATTTTTTTTTAAGTAAGTCTGCATAAAAAAGTACTTCAGAAGTAATGGTTGTGCATTTTTTACAGACAACAAAATCTAACATACTTTCAAACATTGCTCATTTTTATCTTAATAAAACTTTTCTTATAGTTACTCTCCAAAAGTTTCATAAAGATTAATTTGTAAAAGAAATAAAAATCTAAATATGTTATGAAATAAAATTCATATTGGCACTGCCTTTACCATTAAAAATTGTAAAAAAAAATACAACATACAATAGAGAAATCATATCACAGAAGTTCTGGATCATCCATCAAATATAAGTTACTTCCCTTTTATTGGATTCCTCTTATTCTAAAAAAATGATTACAACACAACATTCATGTTAGAAATCTGAATCTTCTTTCTTATGATGTTTTATAAGCAATTATAACAGAAAATTCAGAACTCTTGTAACCTTTTTAGTTAAAATTTCATCTCTTTAGATAAAATAAAAAGAAGAGGGATTGCGAAAAAGGTTTGATCTTAATAATTTATAACATAGAAAAGGCAGTTTCTACATTACCAATTCACCATTTTAGAATCTAATGCATCATAGGTAATATTTTCAAAAGGTTACACCAAAGCGTTGTGATTGGTACACATCGTTCTAAACAATGGAAATTCAACCAATGGCATGGCATTATTTCCATTTCCTGTTGGAACAATACAATGGCCCATAATTCTTTAGATTCTAAAATGGTGAATTTATATTGTTACTTTTTAAAAAAGGAAGAAACCTTGCTTCAATGGATGACCCTCATAAAAATAATATCATTCATCAGTATCACAAACAATCTTTTGAACACTCTTAACAACAGATAAAAAGTTTCTATAGAAAAAGTTGGTTTTTAAAGTATTTGTTTTAATGCATTAGAATTATTTAGAATGGACAAATAATTATGTTATCTTTCAACATAGATTTTTCCCAGATTCCTGATATATTGTTTTGTCTTTTGATAACAATTTTTTGGGTTGATATACATTGTAGCATTATTTTATCTCTAAATCCTTAAAAAAAATCCATCTTTATTCTTCAAAGATAAGTTTAGAAATTAAGAAAACATTTTTCTTTCAATATAAAAAAAAACAGAGTACCTCTGGTATTTGGAATAAAATAAATATAATTTATCTTATAAAGCAGTTATTTTGAAATGATATCAACTTCCTGCTTCTACAGAAATATTAACCACATAGTTTGACTGTTCATCCAATCTAAATAAAAAACATTGTGGAATAAAACAGGAAACCATTAAAACATGGTCTGTAGATTCCATCTAGATTAACTGCTTGTGACCTTTAAAAGGAATCCATTGATAACCTGTGACCTCGAAATATTACCTCAACACAGAGCATTAGACAACACTTTTATTAAGTCTGAGACTTCAGCAGATATATTTGGCAGCATTAAAAGCACTGTTGGAATTCTACAACAATTTCTAATATCACAAAGCGCTTGTAAATATAATTAACAAAAATCAGAAGAATTCCTCCGCACCACCGAGTTCTTCACAATCAGATTCAACAGATTCATCATCATGTCTTAATTTCCAGGTGTCTTCTTTGTTTGCAATAGGTTGGAATCCTGCTAATTCACCCCGTATTCTTTCTATTTCCTGTAAATATTCTTGTTTTTCTCTCCCTGACATTGCAGAATCGGATGGACTCACTTCTCCTGGGAATAAAACTCTATTTAAACCTGAAATCAGAAAAAAATATTTTTTATTAATTCATTTTTATATGTTCTTGAAAATACTACTGATGAAAGAGCAGTAAATTTTAAATGTAAATAATACATTTATAAGATTGCATTGCAAAAATGCTTCTGATACTTTTTACTTTAACCTAATAATGAGAGGTCTCTGGTGTCTGATGTCTTTACTGAAGTAGGCAATGGTTCTATTTATACTGTACTGTATAAGAGCTCATTTCCAGTATTAAATTTTAATATAAAGAACATTGATCCTAAATAAAATCATAAAACCAAAAATAATATTTCTAAATTTTAGTTTGATATCTTTCATTTAACTTTTGATTTTCTAATCTTGATTTCAAATCTTACATCGTAAATGGTGTTCAATTTTCCGTAAATTACTAAGAATTCCTGCCAGCTCTTGATTTGCTGATTTCCAAGCTGGCATTTCACTGTTCATGGATTGATCTATGATGTCATCTATTGGTGAAGGAGAATTAACCAATAATCTATCTTCATCTCTGCAACAAACAAAAAACAGATATCAAATATCAAAATTTTTCATCAATATGTTTTATGTAATAAAAACCTCTAGATCTCTATTGTTATTAATTTGTTGTCTTATTTATTTTTGCATCAAACAATATTTTATTTATATTGATTAAAAGTCACTTATATAATACATTATGCATATTTGAAATATATGGTGATAGGTGTTAAAAGATTATCTCCCTTTGGTCAATATCAATCTTTTTTAACTATAGGATAATACTGCATGTATCGAATATAGTCACAAACATGCATGAAAAAAATATGTGCTGTCTTTTACAATATATTTTTTTTGGGATACATTTATTCCCACATTCAGTCAAGCATTTGTTTTTGTTCTGTCATTACAGAGAGCATGGTTATAATTTCCAGATTTACGAGATCAGTTTGATATGCCACTTTATATGACAGTTGTTTTCCATTTGTTTGATGTGTTTGAGCTTTTGATTTTGGCATTTTATAAAGAACTTTCCATTTTGAATTTCCCTTGGAGTTCAGTATTTTTGTTTTTTTCACTTTTTTCATAACTACTTAGAAAGGTTTCAGTGAAATATTGATAATTTGCATTGTACTTACAAAACGGAATAAGTTGCTATTAAAAATGTTGAATAAACAAAACTGTTTTGACTTCTTCTACTAGTATAGTAAAAATAGTCACTGTAGAATAATTCAACAGCTATCTCCTAACTTCAATCTATGGACTGCCTCGAGTTGCCACGGCTAAATTTACATGAAGTTATGTAACTGATGTATGTTTTTGTGGCACATATGCATTCTTATTTTTATAGCTTTTATTATAAAAGGCCAACAGTCAACCCCTGGACATGTGCTGAATATCTAGATGAAGAACAATAAAAGCAGTTCCTTTGCTTTTTTTTTTTCAAATGTGTGTAGGACTTTTATGTCATGAATTAATATACCATATCCCTTCTTATCTATTTACAGCTGAACAACTTCAGTGTGTTCTTCGAGAATAACATTTAACTTTTGCTAGTTAGCTAGGTGAACCATGAATTCTTTAGCTATTGTAATTCAAGAGAAACAACTAGTCCAACAGGTTTCCAGTCATCCTATTATTACCTTCCCATCATTTGATTACTTAGTAAAACGTATTGTTACTCTTTCAGTAGGTAATAGACAAACATAAAATGTTGATTTCATGGTCTACCTAGCAAACAAGGAAACTTTTTTTTGATAACTAATGTTTTCTAGTTGTTTTTTTTTCGTTTGAATTGTTTTATATTTTGTCATGTCAGGGCCTTTCATAGATTACTGTACAGTATGGGTTTTGCTTATTTTTTTTATGGCTGTTCAGTAACCTATTGTTATTTACATCAAGAAAGTCTGGTTTGGTCTCGGGTGAATAGTTAGTCTGATTAATTGGCAGTCATACCACATCTTCTTTTTTCCATAATACAGTAACTTCATTGTTATTTGTACACACTCAAGTAAATCTGCTATAAAGAATCTTTATACACAAATAGCAAGGTTACTTTGAACAAAGTTGCATTCCTTTGAAAAGAAAAGTTGCCACAGTACAGCAACTGAGGATGATTGCTGTGTCTACTAACCTTAATCTATGGACTACATGATTGGTCTTTGACTTGAGTTTATGTGACAGCTGGTATATAGAGGATACTAAAATGTTGTCATATGACTGAAATAGATAAACATAACAAATGAATACTATATCAAAAGTAACAATAGCGGTCTGTCAATTCAAATGACAAAGAATGTACACATGTTGTATTCTTAGTGCATATTTTATTAACAGCATTTGAAAGTGCATGTAACTTTGCAATGTGTTTATCTAATCTATGTGCCTTCTATTTACTATGTACATTTATAAAAGATGATGACATGTTTAAAATTTTAGTTGCATGATAGTTTTAAACGAAGTAAATCACTATTAAAGCAATACCTACCAATCTGATAATTTGAAAATTGTATATTTGATAAAATTTGATGTCAATATACATTTTTTTCTAGACACAGGACAAGTAAGTTCTTCACATACATATATGGAATAGACACTTATCTGTTGTTAAAAGCTTTATGTAGACTTCTTGACATCTTGTTTTTTTTTTACAAATTATGTTTTTTGGGTTGCTGTCTCACTTATGTATACCTTACATCTGCTATTTATCATATGGTTTAATGCCTTTTCATGACATCCATACAATTTTTCACATATTTGTTTTGTTATTGAAAAAACTAAAGTCCTAAGAAACCACAAAATGTAGATAACATAATTAACATTAACTAATTCTGTTGTCCTTTCATTTGTATAACATCAACTTTTGGGGAGTAACTGATACATTAATAATGTTTTTTTTTCTTTTTGTATTGTTGTCTCATTGACATACACTACATGTACCCCAAATCATCTTTTATGTTTTAAAGTTGCATCTATATATATTTTTTCCAATGGAAAAGGAAAAGAACATTTTTTCTGTGAAAGTACATAGATATCCAAAATAGAAAGAAAAGCTTTTAAAATGCCCTAGACCTACATCATTAATGAAAATAGTACTTGGACTTCTATAATTTCTCTCCTCAAAGGTCAAACACAAGACAATGACCTCCTTAAACAAGTTTTGTAAATAAAGTTATACATGCATCAATATACACCATCAGTTTTAATAAATATTATGTAAATATTATAATCGTCACATATTACTTCAGGTACAAATATAAGTATTATTACTTTTACATGTATAACTTCAAGGTATAAATTTGTTAGATTTACAAGATAAATTTCCTGAATTTTAATATTAACAAAGGTCAATACATTAAAGCATGCAGGCCTCCTCTCACCTTCTCTGGATATAGTATATATTTATTATATATAATAAGATAATAAAGACGTACACCTTGCCTCAGGCTTTCTGTTTTATATATAATAATTGGCAATCATCAATGATCTTTGATGTAAAGATGATAAATGGAAATAGGAAGGTTTACATTACATTAAACATGTTAAAGTTTTACATAGAAATTTTGAGTCTTGGACTAAAATTCTACCAACTAATTATAAAATTAAAGAATATTTCAGATTTTCTTTTGTTTTTGTTTTTTATATGAAGGCATGGTTAATGTATGCCATGCAATTAAAGATATCTTTTTTTTTTTTAAATGGTTTAAAAATATGCTTTATAAATGTAATTAATGTTATCCTGATTAACTGAAAATGTAATAAGATATGACAAAATTTTTGATTGCTACAAAAAAAACAGACAACACATTTAGCATTGAGACAAATCATAGCTGGAGTTATTCCCACCTTATCCAAATTTTCTTGTAAATATATAGGAATGTAATTTAATTTCAGTAAATGCTATTTCAAAAACAAGACACCTGTTAAATTTGGGTAACATAATTTGTGTATTTTTCCAGAATTTCATGGCAAGTTTGATTTCAGCCACTATCAATTAATAAACAGTGTTTATTGAAACCCAAATGCATCTAACTACAAAAACAAAGTACAAGAAAATATCTTAAGGCTGGCAAATTTCTGCTCTAACCATGTCATAAGAATAAATATGCCAACAAATATTGTGCTAATTTCTTTCAGAGCATGAATTTTACTAAACACCTGTTTGATATTTCTGTGCTGAACAGAAAAAAAAATTAACTCCTTTATTTTCCCACCAATTAAAAAAGAACATGGTAGTATTTCATTTTTTTTTTCGAATTGTAACAGATTTTTCAGTCAACTTTAAAAAGATAACTTTTTTACAAATTACCATAATGTGTATGTAAATTAAGATACATGACATGGTTATTTTTAGCAATTAAACATTATTCATGTAGCCATCAGCAATTATATAGCCGAGCATGCAGTTACTCCCACCACAATGATATCAGCGACACGGAAGCACAAACCTGAGATAACACGTTATTATGATATTGTCTGATGATATCGGAAAAATCTGTAGTATCTCCTGTTACGGAATGACGTTTGTTGTAAAGAGAACGAGGTCGTGGTAAAGGAGAAGCAAGTTTAGGAGGTGGTGGTGTGAATGCTGACAAATGTGGTTTACTACCAAGTAAACACCGACTTAAATCCTAAAAATAAGAATTCAGTGGTGCAGAAATTAATACAAATGAAGCATATAAATCATGAAAGTAATCTGCAACACAAATGTACACCTAGAGCAAAAATAAAACTGAAATGACATTAAACTGAACTTAAACAAAATGAAAAGTGAAGCACACGAAAAGCTATTATACATTATAATCTGAAGTTCGTGCTACATGTAACAGTACATGTACTTGAACTTTTGTTTAGGCCACATGAAATTACTTCTTTGAACCTTGTTCCTGCTCATTCCCATATATACACCCCTTTTTTTAAAAGTCTTGCCATATATAAGAAAAAAATCTTAATAAGTCATAGTTGTCTATTTTCATTTCAGCAAAATGTAAAAATACAAAAACTTGACTTGACCTGAACTACATATTTAGCTGATAAACACCATGTTTTTCCAACAAAAACTATCTATATAGAACTAAGGTTATATAGATGTTATTTATCTTTTTCCTAGAGTCAAAAGCATTTCAAAACATGGTAGCATTGGAATAATCTACAACAATGTTATTCCTAACTGGAGCATAACAAATGAAATCATCAAAATATGGGACCAGAAAATTTGTTTCAAAAATATTACAACATGTCCCTACAGTACATTGATTATAAAATAGTTGATGATTTACATGATTTAGTCCATTCATGTTTTATAATCACAAAGCAAAACTGGAAATTTGTTTTTCCTATTGATTCAATGGACCCAAAAAATCTTAAAGCCTAAAAATTACTTTAAAATAGTTCAGATATGTTTAGCATGTAGACTTTTTTTAAACACTTTTTTTCCTTTTAAGTTACAGAACTTCAGAAAAACAAAACAAAACTTAACCCTAATTTCGTCTAAAATTTCATGCAATTTTCACTGTATTTGTCATGCATTATAAGAATCACAATATGCACAAGAATGTTATATATCATGCATACCTCAGAACATGATGCATCCTGGGACTAAAAATTATAAGATATATTATGTAACTTATTATTAAACTTGTCTGGTCTCAAAAATCTGAGTCACTGACTTAAAAAAAAGTTCTAACATGTCTGTAATAAACTGTGTTACAGCTAGAAACATCTGACTAATAAATTTCTAATTTGCCCTAATATTTATATAATTAGCCACAATTAACAATATACAATTATTGTAATTTATTGTAATGGCTAATAAAACATTTCACTATGGCACTAAACAGATAATTTTGAAACTTAAATTTTAAACAATTACCTGTTCGTGTATGTATATTTTACTGGTATGATTAATTTTTATGTGCAAGAATGGAAGCAAAAATGACAAGAAGTATCTTTCATCACACAATACATAAAACTTACTATCAACTATCAAATACAAAATACTAACCTGACCCGATTTTGCTACAAGACTTAATTCTTCATCTTCTGACGAAGTTTTATAGAGGTGACTAGACTGAGATCTTCCCGAATAAGGAATAAATCCTCGATGAGAGGATGCTATACTACTATCATCAAATGTGTCAGTTCCTTCCGCACTAGAAAGAGAGTCATTTTTGTCTTTACGATTTCGTCCAAGTTCGGAAGAGTTTGTGAAGGATGATGACCGTGTCATCCGTTTCATTGAAGTTAATGATGATGATGAAGTAGTACTTTGTTTTTCTTTAGATTTAGTTTTAGCTTCAGCAACTGCTCTCCGAGGATCATATTCCTTTCTCCTTTTCCATGCTGCTTCTTCAGCAGACCTGGTTGCACTGGTTCCACTTTGTGTTTGAGATTGAGTTTTATTTCCTACTCCAGAAACACTTAATCCATATGACTGAGTTGTTTTTAATCTATTTTTGAATGATTTTAAATCTGATTTCCTAACATCTGAAGAAGAATTGTCTAAAGTACTAAGGGATTTATTTAGTTTTAAACTATGTCTACCAGTTTCTGTCCGTGCTAAATTTGAAGTCCGAGCATTGTCTTCACCCTTACGCTGAATTTGAGCACCTAAACTGACATCACTGCGATCAGATATTTTCCCAGAACGTCCCTTTGAAATGCCAGTTACAGTCAAATCTGTCCTTGACGATGATCCATGCCAGCTTTGTCGAGATCCAACAGATTTTGAAAAGCTTAATGAAGAGTTACTTGACACACCTGTAGGAGTCCTTGAGCCTAAGCCCCTCAGTGAACTAGTAGGAGTTTTAGAAGTCCTGGAAGAAGTTGTTGTAGGGGTTCTTGCATTTCTAGTTGGTGTTTTTGTTACACTTGTGAATGAGCTATCAGAAATATCAGAACCTGGAGTAGTGGGCGCATCGCCATCTGCTCTCTGACGGCGTAATTGGAATGCACGATTTGGCCTGGTCATAGAAATAGTTCCTTTACCTTTGGAACCTTTCCTATTTATCTCTGTATTGTTATCTTCAAAGGTAGAGAGGTCCAAGGATAAATCGGCAGTAGAAGTGTCACTCTCACTTAAAACATCCGAAACAGCAGACTGATCCCCAGTGCTCATAGTCCGTTTTAAATTAGTCTCCTTGAACTTTTGAAGTCTTTGGGCAGAACTAGTTGAGTAAACTCTAGTTAGTGGTTTCTTATTAGTGGTAGCTTTTGCTTTTGTACTTTTTGCCAAGTTTTCTCTTGGACTTCCATAATCAGAAGGCTTGTCAAATTCTTCATCACCATTTATATAAGCTACCATACTTTCAGAATCGTGATAATCTCCATTCACATGACTTTTGCCATTCAAAAGACTTTTGCCATTCATATAAGAATAATCATGTCCATTTTGTAAAGATTTAGAGGAAGATTTCATGGATTTCTTATTTCCTACTGCAGCTACGACATCTTCTGTGTCCTGCAATAAAATATCTGTATCAATACTAGCCCCTGATGATCTTGAACTAAGTGGAGTTTTTTCAGTATCAGATTCTATCCTTGTAAAGTTACTTTCAGAATCAGTCTCAAATTTAGTTTTTGATACCGTTTCTGTATCAGTGTCATCATATCTATTTATAACCTTGTCGGAAATTGTCACATTCCTTTTCAACTCATTCGGAGTTGACAGACATCTTGGACTAGTTGTACATTCACTTAATTTTGAGCTACGTTCACTCATCCTGGAACTAGTTTCACTTCCTGATGGACTTCCTTTATCATTTGGAAGTCTGGGTAATTTTCTGCCAGTACCTGGCCTCTTTTTAGATCCAGATGGTGGTTTTCTAGTGCCTTGCATTTCATCTGAAAGTAAATAAGTTTATATATAAAACAATAAGAAAAGAAGATTTGAGAGAGCTAAAAAATTGCCAATAAACTTCATTTATTTTGACTAACATATATGCCATTGATTTAATTAAACATCTGTGTGCACGAGTGCACACTTGTCATGAAGCACATTTGTTTATGGATGTATTGACTCAACCTTTCACAGAATACATTTATAGACTTTGTACCATATGTGAAGTATTTTTTACACATATACATTAATATCTATATGCTACTGGATGTTAAGCAAGCAACAATCAATCAATCAAATTTATAATTATAATCAGGATCTGCTTACCCTTCCGGAGCACCTGAGATCACCCCCAGTTTCTGGTGGGGTTCGTGTTGCTCAGTCTTTAGTTTGCAATGTTGTGTTTTGTGTACTGTTATTTCTCTGTTGGTCTTTTCTTTTTTAGCCATGGCATTGCCAGTTTATTTTCAACTTATGAGTTCGAATGTCCCTTTGGTATCTTTCGCCTCTCTTCTTCATTGTTTTATTTTTTTTTGGTGTGTGTTTGAGTTCATTTCAAGGTTTGCACATATAATCAGTCTTCAGAGGTATTAAAAATAACCATAGAGTATGGAATAGAAACAAGTAATATGTCAAAGAGACAACAACCCACCAAAGAACAGAAAACAGCCCAAGACCACCAATGGGTCTTCAATGCTGTGAGAAAATCCAGCAACCAGAGGCAGGCTTCAGCTGGCCAGTTTGCTTGGTTTGAAAAATTTGTAGTTCTGTTTGATAAGTTATACATGCAATGTAAATTGGTACTGTTAATATGTAGGGTACATGTCAATCAGACAGCAAACCAACAACACCAGAAACCTAGACTTTTAAAAGTCAACATTAAGATTTCAACAATAGAAAAGTACACATGTGTATTTGGTAAGTGAAGTTCAATTTTTTTTAAACCCAGATCTAACAATTTGGGAAATTAAACAGAGTTTATCGAAGACCTGCCATCAACATCAAATTTTCTAGAAGACCTAAGTCTTAATGCGACTCAAACAAAACTTGAAAAGAAATTTTTATCGACATTAGTTTTTAAAAATTTTCAAAGGCAATATTTGATAATTTAACCTGAATACAGTTTTATTTTCACATAAATAAAAAATATTACATTATTTTCTGTTTTAAAATTTACATTAAGCAATATCCTTTAACTAAAATTGTTACTACTTATACTTCTAAAACCTTAATCATCTAATGATCAAACCAAACTCTGTGCCAGGAATTCAAAATCTCCTAAAATATGCAAGTCAGCATAATAAAACTATAAATTTACCTAATTATTTATTTAAACCTTTAGATTTTTTTGGGTATAATTATCTTTAAGTATAACTTGTCAAAAACATGACAGGTTCACGTTACTATTGGGCAAAAGACCCATTTCTGTGAAACAAAACAAAACATTTACTGTATCAACCATAATACACAGGAATGTTTTATGTTTATTAAGGCAAATGTAAAGAACTGCTATTATATTTGTATTGGCTGTAAGGAAAAAAAAATCTTAATGTGCAGGGGGTAGAAGGGTTTTATATATTTCACAAAATGGCTACAAACACTAAATTTTTCATGTAGATGCATATTGGAAAATCCTGTGCTATAAACAGTTTGACATCATACATTTACTATTAACTGTTTCCTGATTTACTAGCTTGATCAGATCATCCCATAACTTTGTACATTTTTTTTTCAATTTTGATATCAATCTTTCCCTTTTTGCCCTCCTCCCATCAAGAAACAGGACCATTTAAACCTAAATTTGGCTCTAAAATTTGACTAAAAATGAATTCTTATATTCTAAAATCTGCAAAGAAAAACAAATCATTATACATTCTGTTTGTATAATACAATATTTATATTTAAGTATTTTGAACCAGATTTCAGCCAAGTTTACTGTTTTGATATGGTATTTTTTTCTGCTGTTCAATCAAAATAATATGATAAAGAAATGGACATATCTGTAAAATTACACATCCTCACCATTATCATGTGTTTGTGAAGACAATCTTGTATGAAACAAAAATTTCAAAATTTAGGCATAATCAGACAAAACAAAAAAATTTTCATTATCAAGATGAACTACAGCAACTTATAGATTTGAACTTTTTCAGGTATTTCAGCCCAATATTCCCCCCAATTTTCATGTCAACTCCCTCTGTCCTTGAACGAATATCAACCTTGCATGCTGTGTTTAACTAATATGAACACAATAAGAAAGAGAAATGGGGTAAATGTCAATAATGTGACCTACAACCAACAAACAAGAGATGTAAAGAAAACATTTATGGCAATATTATGTACTATCAAGTAACATATTTACAATTCTTATCTTTATACAAAGAATAAACTAAAACTTAAATAGAAGGTGATATACTGAAAAACAAGATTCACAATGGTGGTCTATTTCATAACCTGAGCATCTGAGTAACAGAATTTCAAATGATTCGTAAAAGAAAAAAATCAAGACATGAACGAATAGAAGTGATCCTGCAAAGCCTGGTTTACAAAATACAAGTGATTCTTATCCAATTTGCACTTTTCATTTCAAAAACAATTACTTTCTCAAAAATTTTTTTTATAGTTTGTTCTTATGTTGTACTGTTACACCACTGTCCCAGGTTTGGGGAGTGTTAGGGAACAGCAAACATTGTTAACCCCGCCACATTCTGTATGTGCCTGTCCTAAGTCAGGAGTCTGTAATTCAATGGTTGTCGTTTGTTGCTGTATATAATATCCGTTTTTTTCATATATTGTTTTGTGCATAAATCAGGCCATTGGTTTTCTCGTTTGAATTGCTTTACATTTGTCATTTCAGGGTCTTTTATAGCTTACATTGCTCATTGTTGAAGGCTGTACAGTGACCTACAGTTGTTAATTTTTAGAAAGCTCTGTTTTCATTTGATATATGATATATAGATGAACCACTGAAAGGCATTAAACATATGTCAAACGAACTTTTGGTTGTGAATACTGAATTCTTGTTCTTAGCTAAAAACAAATGAACAGGAGAAGACAACTGTTACATACCTTTCTACCCCTAAATAACAGTTTTTTAAAAGATTAAAAACAAGATTTTGGGTTTAAGTCATGAGACAAAAACACAATGACACAAATACATAAAGACGACAAGACTGTATTCTTAAAATGATTTGTAGATAATCCTCTGAATTAAGCCTCGTATTTAATCTGACTTTTCTGCTAAACTGTTTTGCCAACAAACATCAAATTAACTACAACTGTTTTTATTTTCTTCTGAATTTTCATCAAAGAAAAATTACAGTAACGATTGGTATTTGTAATTGAGATTTGTGTTTTCTCTTTATGAAAATATTTTCATTAGGTCTTACCAGGATTAGATCGTGGACTAGCCAAATCATGCGATGGTGACTTTGGTTTACTGGTCAATGCTTCCAACTGAGACATCCACTTCGAATGCTCCCTCGATTTCATGTCATCCTAAAAAAAACAAAAAGTACAAAATTTTAACATCAGTACTCACTATATGGAAAGAAATTTTCTTTGGTCCGAAGTTTCAATGATCCAAAAACTTATAAAAGTTCTAAAACTGAGGAAATTTCATCATACAATATCTCACCTACCATGTCTCTTAGAAATTATCTAAATCCAAACTGCATATTCAATACACCAGTAGAAAAATGTACCTTTACATTGAATAAACTAAAAATAACAGCTGTATGACAACTAATGATAAATGTCAACAGAATTTCATGTTGTTGATATTAGTTTTGGAAACCTGTGAAAAGGATCTATCACACAACAGAATTATCGGTATTTCACAAAAATTTAAATTGTTGACAATGGAACTTATGGATTTACAATGCTTGACTTAGTTTTCCCTACATCAATTTCAAATAAACTACTTGAAATTGTAAGTGTATTTACTATGGGGATTCGTCAAACTCTATAAAAAGATGTCAAATAAATATGTCACACTACTTTATGAAAATATGCGACATTATTTGTGAACATGACATTTTTTGTATAAAAATCATAACTACTATAAAATCATCTTTTTCATTAGACAATTGTACAGTATCAAGCAAAAAAAGTATGTTTCTTATTTTACCTTCCATAACAAACTTGAATATTCAACAATGAATAACTCCAAATAGTATAAATGCTGAAAAACATCTACTTGAACCACTCTAAAGTGTTAACAACACTTCAAATTACTTAATGAATCATTTTTATGTGATGCTACCAAGGAAGTAATAATAATGTCCTTATATTGCAAAAATAATCATCAATTTTAAACAGTTGTCACAATCATTCAACTAAATAAACATCCTTTAAAATTAATCCCACATAGAACTTCTGCTATTTCCAGTATTGTTAGGTTCAATATAATGTCACATCTCTTCAAAGTTGCCTTCATTACATTAAATTTTCCTTTCGTTGAACAGTTAAATGAATTAGATCAAACTTGACAAAATTAAAGCGTAAATGGGCATGATTTTATCGTCCATATATATTATCCTCTAATGGTGTTTTCCTTTCCACTTAATCTTGCCTCAGAACACGTTTAATTCATCATGTGTCATTCAACCTTTCTATCCCAGCTGATACTTATTATAAAGATGTATTTCACTGTATACAAAAAGTCTTACCATGTGATACACATGAAATGTATTCCCTTGTACATTCTAATGTAGAAATGTAGATTTCGAATCATAACACAGCTGATGGGAATTCATAACAAAGTACATGAAGAAAGAAACATATCAGGTTTATTCCTACATCTTGCTAATGTTTATACATCACAGGTTATCTAAGTGACAAAACTTTGGCACTATTATTTATTCACAAAATGCTGGTGTTTATATTAAGGCTAATCAAAAAATGAGTCAGTAACAAACAAATTCCTGGTTCCTCTGATCTAACTTGAAACAGCTATTCTTTTTCTCAACCTTGCAAAGCTAGGGTCACAAGAATTTTAAATGGACCAACAGTAACACCAATCAAGGCAGAAATAATACCTCTCAAAAACAATTTGAATATCCTATTTTATGTGCAATTTTTCTGTTCCCTCCAGCAATGAAAGCTTTACTGACAGCTACAACAATTACAAACATAACCATGCACATGTTAAACCATTTTTTCTAGCAGTTGTTCAATTCTTTTAATGTTTTCAAAGAATACTATTGATAAAGGGTGTTAAAAGTAAAACTTATCTTGTAAAAAAGTATGGTTGATTTCAGATCAAGTCATTTGAATCAGGCTTTGCAACAACTTGGACCCAACACCCAATGTCAATTAAGATAAGAAATTGAAAACTTGCAAAATCGAATAGAAGCTACAAATTTTGTCAATGTTTGTAAGCAGTATTGATTTCAATGCCTTAAACAATTTTTTCTTTAGTCATAACATTTTTTTTTTAAATAGCTCTTGATCAGTTAATACAGAATTAACAATTCACAAAATAATTGGTTAACACATGACTGATTTATGCCATAATAAACCCAAAGAAAAATATCATCATTAATTCATCATTCAAGGCACTAGGAAAAAGAAATTATTCATAGAGATGTTATGCAACAGCTATTTTATTTTCCTCCACCTATCACCTTTTTTCACATGAAGCAAAATGTGAGTCACATAATTTAAACAGCCTATCATCTTATCATCCTGAAAAGTTTTAATGAGCCATTCACCTTCTACCTATTAACAATTGTTGGTTGTTATGATCATGTTTTGGCTAAACTCCCAAGGTAGTATCATTTATAGGTGAAACATATGTAATCCACCATTAAAGAGCACCAAAACAAAAATGTATGGAAGAAATAAAATGCAGAACATAAGTATTTCTAGATTTATAAGAAGATGTGGTATAATTGCTAATGAGACAACTCTCCACCAGAGACCAAATGACATAGAAGTTAATTAACAATCATAGGTTACTGTAAGGGCCTTCAAAATTGAGCAAAACACATACCGCATTATATAAAGTATAATTCATTCCTTTTTTTATTAAATCAAGGTATACCAGGAAATTACCATCTATCAATACACCGAGTGACACCCTGAGGTGTGAAACTGGATCTTTAACCTGTAACCAAGTGTCATAGAATCCTGTTTAAAAGAACTGTTACAAATCTTTACAGGGGGTCTGTAGGTGACTTGTTGCAAGGCAAAATGACTAATCTTGTCCAAAATTCTAATTTTTCCAGTGGCAATTCTCTGCTCATTATCCAAATTTGGAATTTGTGATTGAACTGCACAAACTTTTCTAGTTTCACAAATGAATACACACAGTATTAACCACATAAAATTGAACAACTAAAGATAAGAAAGATCAACTACCGGATAATGGGGTTGCTGTTACAAGGATGTTTACTCCATTCAATCAACAGTCACACACAAACATAATAAACATCATCAATATTCTTTACTAAGGACCCTTACAAAAACTGTCAGTGAGGGCAGCAATTAAAGTAAGCTCTAAAACACAGCTTTTAAAAAGTTATTAACTACAACATAAACTTCTTTCTTGAACTCTTTATATATTTATGGATTATTATTTTTAAAGACTATATATCTCCATGGCCATAAACCATTACCTCCTCCAGGCAAAAATATAGAATTTCTATAGTGTGTAATACAAGTGTACATTTCAATTTAAATACACCAGTGAAATTATAGGCCGAGAACAGATCAATACATGCAACGACCACTATCCATAAAAAATATCAATATTGCAACAGAACTCACCTGAAAATTTCTACCTCCACAGAAAAAAGATTCTAGCACTATATTATTGTCCATAGTTAACACTAAATAATTGTTGAATATTCCTTCTCTCATGAACTGAACATGTTAAAGGTTTACAGTATGTTTGGTATGTCAATATGGGTTTAAACGATCACTACTGGTAGTCAGGACATGTATAAACTGTTGTCTGTCATAACTAATCACTCAACCATGATATTAATTAGCGAAATTTACCTGTCAGGTAGATCATATAATTACACATCTATTTATCTAATCATAAAAAACACATACAGGTATGCCAAAAAATGTGGTAATACAAATAAATCTATATTATTTATTTTGCCAGTTTGTTTTTAGTTCGATAAGAATCCTTAGTGGTAGAAAAATGTAAAAACGATCAAAGATTTGTGTTCAGGTATTACATGTTCCCTACATACCTCACAGTACAGGTAAACAATTGATTAATACCTTGATAAATATTAATTATAATCTCATCTGTCAAAATCAAATAAAAAGGTGATTACTTAATTTATGGTAACATTTCATTTGATGGGTTTAGCCCTTTTGAGGAGCTTAAACTAAACAGTTATAGATTAATTAGATTAATCTTTTGGACCAAATATTGTAAAAAATACAGTAATAAGCATATTTAGCAATAACCAAACCACGTTAATCAATTAAACTTCTACCAGCAAAGCTAGTTTTAAAACTTGGTTATGTTTGACCTAATCTTATCTAACAAATATGTAGGTATTAATCGATGAGACAGCAACCCAATAACACAATTAACGCAGAAATGACAATTATTAGTAACATTGATAATGGAAACAGTGAATGCGTCAAAGAGAAAACAACCCGACCAAAGAGCAGAAAAAAGCTCAAGGCCACGTACCAATGTGTTTTCAACACAGCAAGAAAATCCCGAACCCTGAGGCGGGCTTCAGCTGGCCCCAAATCAATAATGTATACTAGTTCAGTGAAAATGGACGTCACATTAAACTCCAAAACATATAAATGAACCAAATTTAAAAAAAAATACAAGACTTACAAAGGCCAGAGGTTCCTGACTTGGGACAGGCGCAAAAATGCAGCAGGGTTAAACATGTTTTAGAGATCTCAACCCTCCCCTATACCTCTAGCCAATGTGGAATACACAAACACAGAGCAATACCCACAGTAAAATTCAGTTCAAAAGAAGTCCGAGTCTGATATTAGAATAGGTAATAGAAGAAACTGAGCAAAATGACAATCATGAACATAAATTAACAAAAGACTACTAGCAGTTACTGACATGCCAGCTCCAGACCTCGATTAAACTGATTGAAAGATTAAATGTGTTTATTTCCGATGCAAAGACCTTAAGAGTGAATCAATATAATTCCAAAAAATGCCATCTTTAATGACTTGACAACAGTATCGTAACTATATCCTTTCTGACTAAGTCTGTTTAAAGATTTGGTTAGCTTTAGAGGTGAATGATGACATTTTTGTGCTTTGTATATAATATTACCATAAAAGATGGGATGTGAAATACCTGAACGTATAAGATGTCTGCACTTTGATTTATTTTTAGGAAGGATGTCCTTGTACCGATGATAAAATTTAGTAAATGTTTTGACAAGTTTGTGATAAACCCTGGTGTAATAATTTATTAGTAAGTTCACATTAATGTCAGATTCATATCTTTGGACAGATATGACACTTAGCCTAATACTTGTAGAAAAATA